TATATCTCTTTAGCACTGTGGTTTCCCGGTTTCCTGCGGTCACCTTAAAGCCCAGAGGGAGGCCAGCTTCAGTCATGATTAGTCCAACAGAATAAATAAATCTCATGACAGCTCTATCACATGTCCATCAAGTCCATTGTATTTCCAGATTCCCTCCAGGTATGTTTTTCCTCTCCTCAGTGTCAGTCTAAATCACACAAAAGTCAAAAATGCAATCTGGTTAAGGGCATTCATTATCATAGTCCATGTGCTCAAGGGCCCAGAAGAGGAATGCTCCAGCTTTGTTTTAATGGGATACTGGGCAAATCAACACATTAGACATTCATGGAAAAGCTATAAGGATTTGGAAATGTGCGAGTAAATAATGTCCAAAGCCATAAATTCTGTGTTCATGTGTGTATATCAGACTGAATGTTAGGTGGATTGATCCCTGTATTCAGTCAGTCTTTTGTCCATGAAGCTGTATTGGGCCCAAGAATAAAATGGGGTTGAGTCATATAATAGCTGGATAAATAATATCTGAAATGCCACCTATGGAGTTTAAAAACACAATTACAGTGTTGGGAAGGTTACTTTTAAAATGTATTCCCCTACAGATTACAGATTACATACCCAAAAATGTAGTTTGTAACATAATCCATTAAATTACTTAAAGTGAGTAACGTAATCTGAATACTTTGGATACTTGATTTGCTGTAGAGAAGCAAAGACTTGGACATCTTCACATAAGATGTTTTGTCTGCTAAAAGATAATAAAAAAGACCAATCAAATAAAAAATATTATTGATAGAAGAGGAGGAGACACGTCCACGCAGAATGGTTTAGTCCTGTTAAATCCTGTTTTAGTCCTGGTTTAGTCCTGGTTTGGACCTGGTTTAGATCTAGTTTAGACCTGGTTTTAGTCCTGGTTTAGACCTGTTTTAGACCTGGTTTTAGTCCTGGTTTAGTCCTGTTTTAGTCCTGGTTTAGACCTGGTTTAGATCTAGTTTAGAGCTGATTTTAGTCCTGTTTTTGTCCTGTTTTAGTCCTGGTTTAGACCTGGTTTAGATCTAGTTTAGACCTGATTTTAGTCCTGTTTTTGTCCTGTTTTAGATCTAGTTTTAGACCTGTTTTAGTCCTGGTTTAGACCTGGTTTAGATCTAATTTAGTCCTGGTTTAGTCCTGGTTTAGACCTGGTTAAGATCTAGTTTAGACCTGGTTTAGCTTCCGGCAATGAAAAAACAAAACAAAACAGGAAAACAGGAAAATCCCGCCGTGTAATCCATGTAATCCATTTATTTCAACAAAGTAACTGTAATCCAATTACCACTCACTGAAACAGTTACTGTAACTGAATACAGTTACTCATAATTTCTACTCTGATTACGTAACTCCGGTACACGTAATCTGTTACTCCCCAACAATGACTATATATTATTAACTATTATATTACTATTGTGCATGTAAGGTGTTTTATATATAGGGATTTAACGATATCCAACCCTCTTGATACGATAGTCTCACGATATCTATCTCACGGTACGATATTTATTGCGACATTTTGTGGAAGCTATAAATAATAATAATATAAAATTGTGAGTAGTTAGTTAAAGTTAATTAAGATTTCAAAGTGCTTATAACAGTTATTTCAGCATGTAGATTGGACTTAAACACAGCAAAGGATCATGGTCTATGGTTTTCTCTACTTTTTAGCTGTTGCTGCACCAAAACAATGAATGTAAGCAGAGAGAATTGAGATTTGTTATTTTGTGACGGCCCACGATATTACAATACGATATCACGATATTTCGATTATTGTTACGTCCCTAGTTATATAGTGTGTTGTCTGGACATCTACTGACGAAGATCCACTGATCGAAACATTGTCATTCATTAAAAGCAGTTTCTATAAACACTATTCACAATTTCTAGGAAGCTCACTCATAATATACCCATAATATAACCTAAGCTTTTTTTTTTTCCCCCAGAAATATAGAAATGATTAATGATAATTATTTTTATTCCTCCTTAAATGCTACTTATGTTGTCCATTACTTTGGTAAGCTTTTAGTTTGCTATGTGTGCTATACAAATACATTTTTGATTGACTTAATGAGTTTGATTGATTATACTGACTCTTAGTAAACTCATATAGCAGTAGTAAATATCACATCTGTGAATAAGCTGCTAAAATAAAAGATGTATCCCTCATTACAAACAATACTCACATACTGTACATACATACTCACACACTTAAACACACAAGACTGGATACAATAGCCTCAGAACAGCACAAGGTTTTGCTCTTAACACTGTAATGAACAACACTATGCTAAACTCGAGGGTCACAAGACTTCTGGAACTACAATATTATATTATTACAACTACAGGTGCATCATGGGTAATGTAGTCTCATGCACACTGGATTTGCAACACTAATAAAAATTCAGAGCAATCATCAAACACTTACAAACGTGGCACATTTCCATGGAGATGCAAAAAGCAAAAAGAATACAGAAAAGTAAACACAAATCTCATTTCTCAACAAGTTGGGTGTTTGCTTGGTGTTGAGTCTTGGTGTAGTCCACATTTATGTTTTTTGTGATGATTATCTATATTTTGACCTGTTTGTAATGGCGATTTTAATGTCTTTCTTATTCTGTAAAGCACTTTGAATTACTTTGTGTATATACTGTACAAACAATACTCACATACTGCACATACATACTCACACACTTAAACCTACAAGACTGGATACAATGGTCTGAGAACAGCACGAGGCTCCGTTCCAAACACCGTGATGAACAACACTGCTTTAAACTTGTGGGTCTCAAGAAATGTAAACACAAATCTGCAATCAACCAAAATAAATGTGGTATGTTGCATCTTTACTGTAAATCCCCATTGGTTTAACGTTTGGTGAACTGAAAATGCCCAGCCTCTATTAGCAAATTTTACTGTCTATTGATAGCTATTCCTGTAATAAGTAAGACTGAAAGTATGTCAGGGTACAGAAGGACTATAATTAGAAGAAAACTCATTCTTGTTAGTTTTAGTAGTACCTTCAAATCCAAACTATGCCAGCACTTTGAATTACTTTGTGTACAAATTCCGCTATACAATTAAACTTGCCTTGCCATACACTTTATTACTACAGCCTGGAGACCTTCCCGCTCTTTCCATGTTGTTGTGACGTTCAGCTTCTCTGAACTTGTACACCAGAACCCCTCCATGTGTGAACAACAAAATAAAAGCAATTAAATCTCCCCTCCTCCACCCTTCACCCCCATACTCACATCTGCTAAATTGAAAACCCACATTGCATAAAACAGTACAGCTTAAACTCTTGCCTTGTTGTTGCTCGGGTCTAGTTATAATAAGTCAAACGCTACACTCTTGTCAACCATCTCCTCTAAACATGATCAAAGCAGCTTGTTTCCATGTCATATGAACTTTGCATGAGACGCATATATCAAACACTAATTACAATGCGCGATGACCCGACGAAAGGGGGCACTGGCTGAAATGTCTTGCGTGAGAGCGGAGACAGTTGAGTGAATTTGGAGGCTGAAATAGAGAACTGGAGCCAGCAATAAGCAGCTTGGTTAATTAAGACATGCTGACAACAACTGAACTGTGCACATCATTACACAGGCACGCACTAATGGGAACAAATGGCAGCAGTAAACACTTTTTTTGCATGAGTTGTATAAGGGAGCACTAGGTACAAGGCACATGTACTGTTATAATACAGTATGGGATTGGCAATTGATACTTTGCAGGTAATGTCATCAAGACTCCCGGGCGGTGTGATTCTAATTAGCAGTACTACTTTGTCTGAAGGTCTGTTACTCAGGCTATGTTTACACAGAGCTGGGTATGTTGAGAAACAAATATTTCCCTCCCACCGATTTCCAAGATAATATCGTGCACATTAGCCTGATTCATCAGCCGGTTTCACTTCGTTTCACTTCCTAGAAACCGCCTGACCTCTCAGTGTTAGAATTTGTTCGCTCAACGGTAGGTGGGTACTTTTTATCATTTAACCAATCGCTGCTATTTGGTAGTCACGTATGTAATGCATCGCTAACAGGACATATTAAGCTTTTCCCAAATCCTGCAGGAAGAAGGGCAATAACATCTTTCCCTTTGATAAAATTCACCAAACATTCTCTTTGTTCTGGCTTTAAATCCTCGATCTCAGGAATCGTTGACAACACAGAATGTATGGCCCTTTGCTGCCTGGCTGGTGCCCGAACTCGCACTTCCATGGTTTTTGTGAACCACCTAGTGTATTTTGATTCCTGACCTAGTTGCTGGAGAGAAATTAAATTGAGTGGAGGCTCTTGGTGGCACCAGCCTGGCTACATGTACATAGCATTGTTTTCAAAAAAGTTTTCATTTACATCAACCCGCATAAATACGCCATCGAGCACCATCATAACTGCGCCAAGCTTCTGGGAGGCACCTGGATTAGACTCAAACCTGTAGCTTTTATTTCATTACAGTTGTAAGTATTACTCAAAAATACCTTGTGTTTGCACCAGAAAAAAAGTGACTGCTGCTCTGAATGCTCCATGATCATCATAATCAATATATAGCATTGTTATTGTTTGGAAGGTGGGTAAGTATCTTGAAGTAAAAGAGGTATACTAGTACTAAATGCAAATGTAGTCTCTTTTCAAATATTTATTTGAGATTATATGATTTTATATATTATATCAAACAGATTTGAGATTTAAATTTTTTTCCAGTCAAAGGGCATATTTTTATTTGATCAAGTAGTTCAGTTATTATTTCTCTTAGTCATAGACTAAGAGAAATTTTGTTTAAGTAACACTGAGAAAAAAAATATAGAAGATAAAAGTAATTCATTTATATGTAAAATTAAGTATTCAAACTTGCTTTAGTTCAAGGTCCATTTAGCATTACAGTTTCTTTACAGATTAATTCACAAATAAAAGCAACCATGAAGCCAGGGAAACTGCATTGAACTATAATACGATAACTTTTCTGCTTACCTGCCCTGGACCTTGATGTCTGAAATGGCATAGAAGTATCTGGACAGGTTGGTCTCGTCTACCATGGTTGCTCCGGTGGCGGGTCTGAGCAGTCGGATCCTCAGGTCTGTGATGGTGAAGAAGTCCCTCAGGTTCTTGGTGGTGTCCAACTGCCCGTAGAGTGACGCCATGTTGTGTAGACGAGGCCCAGCGAAAAGCGCAAATCGATCTTTGATTTCAAACCTCACAGTCTTGTCATACTTCCACACGTAGCCTCTGGAGTAGTCCTCTGTGCAGATAATGTCCAGTAAAGTGTGCTGGGTCAGATCGCGGACTGTTTTGGGCTCCATAGTAAAGGCGTCCAGGCAGTCTGTAGCGTAAAACTGATAGGGTTGCCATGTTCTTCCATAATCTAAAGACTTTTCTAGGACCATTTGCTCAGGTCGTCCAGATTCGAATGTGAGGACGATATCATCTGTTAGCTCGATTGTCTTGTTCCAGGAGAGGGTGATGTTGACCAGGAGAGGTTTGGGATATTTTTTCCAGGAGGTGGACTGCCAGAAGGTGGTGGGGTTACGTCCCTCGATGTCGAACATGAGCTCCGGAGGGTGGGCCAGCTCCTCCGTGGTGGCGTCACATTCGTTGTTGCACATGTACGGGTTTTCCTGCAACAGACAAAACAAAAAAAGAGTTAGTTTTGGTGATAAATAACAAGTGATACAAGTGAGTTTGGAGAATGCGTTTCAAACTGTGTTATGATAAGGATGAATCTGTATGGTAATTAATTTAATAGGATAGTATAACTTTTTCTTAATTATTATTGTGGAACTAATTTTGTGTTACAGAAATGTGTATTTCTGACTATTTAAAACCCCAGGAAGAATGGTGACAGCTTGACCGTGCAAATGGGGATCCACAGTAAACATTAGTCTTATAATCATTGTGAGAAAAAAAAACTAAACATGATTTTACAATTATTCAAAATGACTGACATTAAGACCAAAGACCAGTAAACTTCTTCATTTCCATTATTCCTCAGTATCTGGACATAACCATTTCTATGTGACCAGCCAAGATTACAGTTTATGAAAGATAAAGTCAAGTTACTGTGATATAAACTACAACATTACATATAAGTTTGCAGTTTTGTAGTAAAGAATGAATTATAATAACTTAAGTTTGCTGCCAGAATGTGTGGCCATCAGCTGAATAATTGTGTTTCTAGATTAACCAAACAATCTTGACATTCCAAGTATTGAGAAATTTAATGTAAGCTCAGAGCAGAGTTTGTATGGAGGACTCAGCCGTGCATAATAATACAGAGATTTTTCAAGCTCAAAACCCAATCAGAAACAAAGACTGAATCTCAATGAAGATCTCTTACTCCCATTGAGAGCAGCTCGTGCACAGACACTGGACACAAGAAAAGAATGTATTATCTATTCACTAACAGTCTCATTCTCCTAACGAATATCTAGGAGGAATAAAGTCAAACATAAGTATTGTAGGGATGGATGATATGGCGATGACTAAGACTTTTAATGATATGGTGAATGAACATAAACAAGGCAGAGGTTTTAATGAGGTCACGTCTTAAACAACAAATGAATGCTTTACACTCCAGTGAAATGTAATGCAATGTAACGCACAACTAAATCAAAGTTACTCCACTAAAGTCCAAACTATGCAACAAACAACTTCTACTACCACAACTTTGAATGTACAACCTGTCCATTAAAAAGCTCCAAGCTGATCAGTGGCTGCAGTTACATGCACACTCTAAACTCTAGACTAATCAGATTTTGTGATTTTGTGATTGCCTATCATTTAATGGGCCCATATTACTCATCTACAGATTGTGATAATGTTGTTTCCTCATCAAAACATACACCTTTTATTTGTTTTGTTTTATTCACACATGTTTAACACGCAGACCTATTTAGGCTGAGCTCTTTTTTCAAACCAGAAACCTTGTGATGTCATGTGGTAATGCAGGAAGTACTCCAATGTGTTTTCAAACTCCATACATCTTCACTTAGTCTAATTCATCAGCCGGTTTAACTTTGTGGAAACCATCTGACCGCGCAGCATTAGGATTTGTTCACTTGACGGTAGGCAGTTACTTTTTTTTTTTTTATTTAACCAATCCCTGCTATTTGATTGTGATGTATGTAATGCACCAAATCCCATAGAAAGAAGGGCAATAACCTCTTTACCCTTGATAACATTCACCAAACATTCTCTTTGTTCCAGCTTTAAATCCTCAATCTCAGGAATCACTGACAACAGAATATATGGCTTCGTCTACATCCATCTCGACCGCTTTGTTTACTGTTGTGCTGGACCACAAAAGGGACCCAGACAGGCACTTGATTTTGACGCCATGGCTTCACAGCTCTTCGCTGATTGGCCAGTGCATGCTCTACAACTTCCGGGATTCTTGCAAAATATCTAGTGTATTTTAATTCCTGACCTAGTCACAGGACAGAAATGAACTTGAGCGGAGGCACGAAGCGGCGCCAGCCTGGCTAACCTTCACTAGCATCATCTGAATGATTTCAGCTCTGGAATTACCAGTCTCTACTAAACAAAAGGTAAAAGGTAGCAGTTCACTTCATGACATAACAAGGTGGAACAAAGCATTGTGAGCTTTGGAGACAGCCTAATAAACCAGGATTAGTCAATTATGTGTGGAAAAAAAAAAAAAAAACTAAACACAATGACTAAAAGCTCACGAGTCAATTTTGTGTAATATAGGATCCTTAAATCTTAAAATCCATAAATTAGATAATAATTAGATCATTTTGGTGAGCATGGGAACACAGCCATTGATAGTTTTAAATATTTCACAATTCAGTTATATTTCAGCAGATTGCAAAGCCTTATCTCTATGTCAGCATTGATACTTGATGCAAACTTTGACATTCATTCATGATAATTTCAAAAATTGTGAGTTTTTCATTTTGTTTTGTTTTTTTCCCCCTGAGGACTCAATATCTCACACTGACCCTGATAATGCACATTTAAAAGTGCCCTGAATAAAGTGGCGATACAATACCAGTGGAATGAAACAGATTACTACATGTAGCCCCAGTCTCCCTTCCACATCCAAACTGATCAGACTCCTGCTCGAAAAGAGGTCTTTCTAAAAACATTTGTCCGCTTCACCACAAATCATTACGAGTCTGTGTTCTGTGCTTCTCCCGGGGGCTCTATCAGACTGTCACAGGGAGAACCGCTCCTGTCCACGAGGCCCTTTCAACTACTACAAGCTCCAATTTATCAGGACAAGATAATCCACTACTTGATTAGGTGGAGATGTCAGCGCAGGATGAGGAGAAGAGGGGAGAGAGAGGAGAGGGCCTGGTGTAAGGGGGTCTAATGAAGCTCAGAGACACCAATTCAGACGGTTATGGAGAGAGAGGGACTGACCCATTCGGCTAATAAGCTTTGCAACTTTCCCCCCGTCCTCCAAAGACAAGGTGACAATGAACCAGAGTCTCACTGTTGGAGGGTCCTATTAAAATCCAGTCTGCACCCATAACACCGGATTTACCAGCTCTGGACATGGTCATACCAGCTGGGAATGGGGAAATCATCCAAAGAGTTCATTTGCGAAAACAAAAAGTACAATTTACAAAAAGGATGAGGATTGTAATTTACTTTTTTATAGCACTTTTTCCCAATATATTTTACTGTAGTCCATATGTTATTAGGTCATTTGTTCTGGTCACATTTGTATATAACCTTTTCCACCTTCAACACACTCACATTGTTTTACATCAAGGAACCACTCGCCCATTCACATACAAATTCATACTTCAACAAATGTTTATGTCAAATTGGGATTCGAACCGCCAACCTTCACATCAGTGGATAAACACTCTACCAACTGAGCTACTGTCACGCCTTTTTGATCATATTCACACAGCTTTACATTAAACCTACTCTCTGTGATTCGAATGGCTGGCCTGCCCCTGTTGTATTCTCACATATCACCACTAGATGCTGTCTATGTTACTGCTGCTGTCTGACAGTGTGCCAGCTTTGGCCTGACAGAAGAAGACCAGAGAGCACAGGTGAGACCAAACAAAGGCCGGGTGAGGGAAGGGGGAAACCAGTTTCACATCTGCCAATGGTGAAAAAAAAACAATCCAATAAACTTGCAGATGGTAGCTTGGAAGGTGCAATGTGTAATTTTTCTGGTGGAAGGTCCATCAAAAGCTTTTCTCCACGGAGATGTTATTGCCTCATCTGGAATCTTTCACAGTATGGTGTTAAACCTTTCTATCTACATGGAGACCAAATCAGATGAAGTTACAGGTCAGATCTGTGAAGAAGCAACCCTGCTCACAGTCAGAATGAACTATAAAACCGTATGTAATTGAATAAATTGAATAAATGTTTGTTTAATGTTTTACTGTTTAATGTCATACTGTGGAACATTCCAGGGAAAGCAATGCTATATCCATAGCAATAAGTAGGTGATAAGTTTTAGCGCTCCTTTAAGTGCCATTTTCAAAAATTAGGTAAGGTTTGTAATTGAAGGTTTGTAAGGTTTGTATGGATTTTAGTGCAACACTAACATTATTACATCCCTGTTTGATCAAATCCATGCAACATTTCTTTCACTGAGAATCACTGTAGAGAAACTACATACATACATACAATGTAGCTCCTAATAAATCTCACAGTTTGCAAGTAAGACGGTGTGCAGGATGTTTCTCTATGTTCTCAGGCTGCTTCCTCTCCTCCAACGCACCTGTCTCAAGTAATTGATGTGTGAAGTTCTCATTCTTTTAATGAGAATCACTGTGAAATACTTTATAAAACAAACAACATTGCAACAAATTTTCAAAAATAAATTTTATTTTTGCAAGTGAAATCTTTGCAAGTGAAAAATTTGGACTTGTAATTGTTGCATTATGATGGGAGTTTAGGTGTGCCATTAACAGCAGCATCTGTTGCATGTGTAGCACCAACACAAGTGATAAGGCAAATGTGACACTTTCTAATATAAAATGGCTGACTGCATTAACGCTCTCAAATGTGCATCTGAGCAGCAAACATGAAGGGACAGGTCCAAGTGTGATTTAAAGACACTGAAGCGTGGAGCTTCACATTCTAATGCAGTCCTTGATCACGCTCATAGTACATTTTAAATACTAAGAAATTATTTATTTTGTACTTTTTTACAGTTTAATATAAGGGCTACTTAAAAGTGCAATATGCAACTTTTCTGGTGTAGAAGTTCACCACCTTGCTTGTCACCATGGAGACTGATTTTGAATATCTAGTCACAGGTCAGATCTGTGAGGAGGAGACCCCACCCAGAGTAAGAATACATGTATTTCAACCTACTTTTGAGTTGGGGGTCTGCCACCTGATTGTTTCTATGGATATGGCATTGCTCTTCTTTGAATGTTCCACAGTATGGCATTAAACAGCTCGGCCTTACATTTATTCAGTTACAGCAGGTGGTTTTATAGCTCAAAAATACATCAAAAAACAACCATTCTGACTGTGAGTGGGGTTGGCTTTCCACAGATCTGACCTGTAACTTGGTCTGGTTTGGTCTCCATGAAGATAGAAAGGGTCTGTACCATACTGTGGAACATTCCAGATAAAGAAATAACATCTCCATGAAGAAAAAGCATTTGACGGA